AAACGAAATAGGTAACTTTTTTTGGCTAATCAGAAAAATAATATAAAATAAATTTGGCTATGGTATAAGAATATATCGTGATATGATTATAGTTTATTGAATCACTCGACGATTATTCCACAAGCATACCGAACAGAATATCATGATATCTACTACTGTTACTGTTATCATATAAATATGGCTCCCTATTCTAGAAACAGCGATGATACTACCGCAAATTACTGCTCTATCTATTATTGGTACATCGTTTAAACGCCCTCCGAAATATTATTATTGTCTGTTAATTGTATAATTATTGTCGTCGTGTCGTGAATAACGAAAATTTCGTACCGGAAAAGGTGATATTTGTCTAAGCTTAACGTTCGAGTTAACATCGATGGCAAAGATGAGGTTTTATTTGCCATTTAACGTGTAAGTGTATAAACACGACCGAATATAAACCGTGACCAAGATCACCAGTTCATTAGAGAAATCCTGCTACGTTAATATTTAATTCGTCCCGTTCGATATTATATTAAACTATATCGTTATATAAATATCATAATAATGCTCCAATAATGGGTATCTGAAATGTATTTCGATGCTATTCATTCGAATGTTCGTCGAGATAACTACATGAAGAGTTGATTACCGTGTATACTACATGTATCGGACACGGGAATCCGTTCGTGGTTTTCGCATTGAGTACAGAATACTATGATTTAAAACCAAATTGTTATCGAACGTTATTGATTTATAACGGTAGTATGTTATTGCAGTAATAACTGTGGAAATGTAGATATTCCTCAAAAATTTATAAGTAATTATATAGGTAGGTATATACATGCACGTGACATTAATAATCGATGCGATCATATTTTTTCATTTTCGTTTATCGTTTATAGCGTCGTGTTTAAAATAAGTTATTCATCAACTTCTGTATTATTCAATGGTCATACACATCTTTGGCCAGAATACGCAAACGCATTTGTTTTATTTAACCGAGATCCTTTCTATAATATTTATAAATCTACTTGACTATAAAATATGTACACGATGCTTAGAAATTGTTGAATTTCAATGGTTCGCATACGCACGTATATATACACAAATATACATACAACTATTCCGAATACGCTTTCGAGCAGCATAAACGACCTGGTAGAAAATACAGAGTACTCAAAAAATCTTCATACTATATATTATACGCTTTTATAAAATATAGAGTTTCTTCATGGCTTTTCCGTGAATTTCGGTTTACTAGTACAAGCGCGGAACTCATGTACCTATTAGGTACCTATTAGACACGTAATATTATACTTCGGAGACTTGTTAATCGACGTACACTACTGTTTGAATTATGATGATTGCACCGTGAGTTAGCTGGACGCGTCGAATCACGTTTCTAGTTTTTAGATGGGTGACCATCCGATTGTTTTGTTCTAGTCGTAACGATCGGATTCGGTCCGTTCCACAAGTCTGCAAACAGTTGTACGACGACGCGATATAGTTCGCGTCTCCGGAAATCATGATAAAAGTTGGTAAAATTAATGGTTTATGCGATCAAAAAAATAATAACGTAACGTTGCTATCAATAGGCGGTAAATGACTTGTGGCGTTCACGATTCGTTGTACTTCGCGCGTTTAAAAAACTGCTTAATGGGGAGAATAAACGTTGCCTTGACTCGCGTATCACGACTGCGTGGTACATATAATATTACCGAGACAAACGCAAGGAACTCGAAACGCAACGGTAACGTACGTTTATTATCACTCGTCGTCTACGCGGTAGTTGCGGAGTTTAGAACATGATACGCTGTTTTAGTTGTCGTTTTCGACGTTGTAACAGGAAACATTATATGTACACCTTGGAAAAGTTCTTGGAATTATACGAGATCAACTGACTTCAGGTCGTACCTGCTTTGATGACTGCTGACAACAACACGTGGGTATTCACTACTCGTTCACTCGTTCAGGCATTAGCACTCCCTTGAACCGCACACAACTGTGCGTAACGCAGTGTACGGCAAATACAACTTGTTGTGTTTACCGTTGTACACGCGGTTTTACTGTTCAAACATATTATCCGATAAATAACAATAAACTGCTCGCGTATATTCACCGCGGCGATAACTGTTAGAAACTTTTTGACTGCACGCCACAATAGCTTTGATGTTGTACTCCCGCAACAATTTATTATGTGTATATATAACATGTACAATGTAAATTGTACATGGTACACGGTGTCCCGAACATTTACAAAAAGCGTAACTCGTGTTATTCAATACAACTAAGATTTAGATTTGTATGTATGTGTATTATGTTTCAGTATTGGATAGATAACTGCGATGATTTTCTAACTCTTCAGTGCGAAGGGCGTTGCCGAAAATTATGCACCCTTTTGTACCTAAATATATCGTGTTTTATACGTGCGGTATAAATGTGTTATCACCAGGGCTCGGGCCTTATATCACTTAAAATCATTAAAATAAGCGCTTAAAAACATCATTATAATATATAAGTATTAAAATAAGTATTTAAAAAAATTTTAATTAAGTAAAAATATTTATCAAAAAAAAAAAAACAATAAAATTCTAACTAAAAAAGTCAAGCGAAATAAAAATAAATCTTCACTTTCAAGATTTTAAGGATTTTCTAAGGGATTTTTTTGAAAAATAAATTGTATACTGTTCTCTCTGTTCTTGATCATTTTGACGTTTGACACTCAGTTCTATTCTCAGCATTGGAATATATTTATTAAACCTAAAACGATGTCTTGGACGACGACGAACTACGTAAAATCGTAGAAAAGATAAGAATTAATTTTAACTTTAATTTTATCAAAAACGACTCTACAGGAAAAAACTACAAAAACGTAAAAAAATAACTGGTCAAATAAGTAAAAATAATCAGAAAAACTGAAAATAAGCATTTTTTTTAAAAAATTACTGAAAAAAGCAAAAAAAAGCACTTTCAAATTTCATAATTATACGTATTATAACTTAAAATACACTTCTATAGCACTCTGCTACATTTTAAGTCAATCCATAAAAATAAGCAAATGCTTTAACTCCTGAGCCCTGGTTATCGCACACTATACATTTTTGTGTTCCTTAAAAATCTGGCACCAAAAATTCCCTTTTTAGCTGTGGTGCCATATGCAAACAGACGACAAATACAAATTGTATATGAATAGTAGTGTACGTATAGCTATTCTTTCTATGTACACAAATTGTGTGTCCTTTCCACGGACGTAAATTTGGCTACCAAAAGTACGGGGGCAATTCCATATTTTATACAACAGATGGAATACCCCACATTACTTCCCATTTATACGCTGAGAATACAAAACATTCATATAGTGTAAGAATAGGTTCTAAAAAATAATTATTTTACAATAACAAAAAATATTGTATAAAATAATGTACATTACTTATTCATTTTTTCAATTAAGCCTAAATTAATTAATATTTGCCAAGAATGTCTGACAATAATTTGGGAATGACATTGTTATCATTTTATTTTGCTTCATTATTTTCCATAAATCAGATAAATGACTAATTAAAATATTTATCCAGTAACATGTACGTACGTCACGTGGTCAAAGGACTCAACTAGTCGCATGTAAATAATTTACAGACATAAAAAACAATTCATCCTATACATAAAACATAAAAAGATTACTTGTCCGCGTTTCATATTTTGATATTGGGGCGTAATGAAAATTATTACTTTCTCTACTAAAAAATAAAAATGTCACAATCGTAACCGGATATTTGTTGAAGGGTGATGGGATTTTTAGTAGGCTTACGAGAATTATTAGGGGTATAATCTCCCGTAAGTACCCCAATTTACGTCTACGGTCACTTCGTCGCATGCCGTTTGTATCACAACATCAAGCACAACAGCCGTCATGATACATTCTCAGTGAACCGTCACCACCCTGCGGCATGTAATCGGTGCTGTACTTGCGCACTTATTGGCCGTTCGTGCGTCGTTCATTGTTACATCGTTAGGAGTATGGGCAATCACGAAAACGATAGCCGCGGTGTGGCTGCAGACGTGCGCGTAATGATCTAAATTAACAGCGGAAATCCTACCGGCTCGTATAGATCGTGCATGAATTAATGTGTATACATAAATGTATGCCGCACAGACGCGTGCGCAAGTGCATATGCGCGCACGCGCCCTCCACCCTTGTGTCCGTGCATTAAGTGTAAATGCAAGTGCTGGCGGTTCAAGGGCAGGGTGCGTATCTACGTGCGTTTGTGTATGTGTGAGGCTTAACGGACGTCAATATTGATTAATTCCGTTCCCCCCCACACCTCTCATCAGCCAACAAAACGCACCCTACTCTTCCACGGGTTTCGGTCGCACGACAAATTCTATTAAAAGTTAATCCCGATCGTGGGCGACTGTACGGATCGCAATTATTGTTTTTGATATCATTATTTTCACAGAGACTTGTTGTCGTCTTTGACGTACCGAGTTCGTGACGTCATGCATTATATCCGTACAAAACTGTTAAGCACCGTCGTTGCAGTTAAGAACATATTTAACGACCGTCCGCCGCTGCAGTCCTTCGCGACGTACTCTCCGACCAAAAAAAAAAAAAAAAAAAAAAATAAAATAAAATAAAAAATAAAAATACGTTGAATATAGTACCGCAAAGTTAACGATTCAGTTCTAACGTCATGGTTACAGTTGCAGTCGTAAATGTTAACTTCAAAAGCATAAATATTATTAACAATTATCATAAACATTATACCTAAACGTTGAGGGTCATATAATCTGGTTGTTTTGTTTTGATAATATTTCAAACGAACTGTTATTTTAGAGATATTTCATAATTTTCCACTCGCAGTTCTCATCATCTTTGTAGATATTTCAACCTCAAACGATACGTACTTCAGATCTTACATTTTTTAAATGTAAAATCGTGCGCTTTTCTGCGAATATATCGCATCAATGTTTATGTACTCTACTTATACAGTTATTGTTATTGTTTTATTTTCATTTAGAAACACGGAGTGCGTCTTAAATGTTCCGCGTGTCGTATAATCGTGCACTCGGAATGTTTGAGCAATCTACCGGAAGCAGCCAAGTGCAAATCGAGCTTCAAAGACGACGGTGTGCGACAGTACAGGGAACACAAAACAGTCAAACACCATTGGATGCACAGGAGAACACAAAAAGACAAGTGCTCGCAATGCGGAAAAGTCAGTAGCACGGATTAAATCCAATAAAAAAAATAATAATAATCATAAATTTTTCGTTCATTCCGTAGGCGTTCCAGTCGGTACTATCATTCAGCTCGAAGGAAATCATAGCTCTCACGTGCTCTTGGTGCAAGCTGAGTGTCCACAACAAGACCGCGTGCTTCAACGATACGAAAATGAATGAACCCTGTACCTTAGGTAAGCATTGCGGAAAAGCACAACTATTGATATGGGCTTTACAGATGAAAGCGGTGTGTTCCACGCGACCGAACTGTCGAATTGGTTTCTAAAGTGAATTCGTTGTTACGCGGTGGTGCAAATTGTGATTAGTCACTGCAAGTCTATCACAACGTGTAATATAATAATCCGTTAGCGGTTTTACCGAAAGTTAAAATAAACATATCGGTCTAAATGCACCGTAAACTTTTTGACAATGATATATCGGAAAAATACCTCATAACGTTGAAGATTTTCGCGGACATAGTTAATAAAACAAATTTCTACATCACCATACTGAACACTACAAGAACGCTAATAGATCAAAGATCTTTGATCATGAGAAACCGTATTTTCTAAAAGTAAAGACTAATCAATTCGTTGATTTTTTTTTAACGTTGTATTAATATGATATTTAGCGGTACATTTAGATATATCTTATAACATATTTATGATTATTCTTACTAACTTATTACCCATAATCGTATTAAGCTGTTACAACTTTGTTTAGTAAAAAAATTTGGAAAAATAAAAGTATGATACGTTAAGTTTCATTGCTCAAAAATATGATTATATTTTACACTAAATAACAAACGTTATTGTAGTTGAAATCGTAAAATATTTAATGCTGCTGTAAATATATATAAATAGTTATGTAAATACACATATATACATAACCTAAAATGAATCTATTCCGGGACGTAAAAATAAAAAAAAGTAGCAAATAGGATGATACGACTTTTGTAGATATAGAAGTAAAACACATTTGTACACCAATTACCTAGATAATTAGAAACGCTCTTGAAAATAAAGTTTTTCAAACCTCAATTTTAGTATTCTGTTAAAAACTTCTCACGCGTATGCCTACGTGATTAAAAATGTAATTTTCATTATTAATTCGAACAAAAGTTTATGTTTTTGTTTAAATTGTGTTTGGATTTAAATCGGTTGGTTGAGTAAAATAACGGAGCATTTGGGAAAGGGAGAAATCGTTCATTAATAATAACGTTCAGAATAAATAATTTTATTCCGACGGTTCATATGATTTTTCAGTGTATCAAAATTGTATGCGAAAACCGAATAAAACTTTAGGTTGTTTACTTTCATTGCAGCTTCAGTGTAATTTTTAACAATATAAATATGGTGAATCACAAAACTAAAGTATTATTCATTTGTCTTGGTCAATATTGAAGTAACGTGGAAAAATAATATTTTTTCCCTCAACACCATTATTATACACTGTATACGTTTGTACGGAAACCCATTATAAATACATTATTTATATTAACTTATCACTCAACTGAATACAAATAAGCAATGACAGTTCTCAACAATTATTCCTACGAATAATATTATTGTTTATTATAATTAAATTTTGCCCATTACATTGTGAACAATATCTACCTATATCTATCAAATTCTACACGAGTTTGTATATTTAATAATAATAATAATAATAGTTCAATGCCCCTATAGGGCAATTGAGCTAACAATATGTTATACAAAAATTATAAGTATATATAATAATGATAATAATAATACTTGATTGCAGTATTTAATTATAATGATTAATTTTTTATTTCTGTATTAGGTATATTTTAGAGAACGGATAGGTATATTAATAAAAATTAATTTACATTTCTTTATTAACTTAAAGCTATATCTAATACATTTAGTGATTTACTATTTGAAAATTAGATATAAAAGCCGAAGCTTAGATTTTTTATTAAAATTAAAATCGAAATTTATTTCATTACAGCTTCGGAGCGTACAGCATATAGTTACATTAAAACTGTATGGTTTCGAGTGGAACGATACGTAAAAGATTGATTTCGATCTTGAATAAAAAGTATAAACTAACCCATCTATTTCCTCCATAATGTCAGGACAATTGATTAAATTATTTAATATTTTATTAATAAAAGAAACATCAATGAATTTTCTTCCGGAATACAGGGTATGTAAACCTAATTTTAACGCTAGTCCATCAGTTGTTCGTACAATGTGTCGCAAATATTGAACTTCTACACGTATTTCAATCAATTTACATTTGTACCGAATTTTACATTTAACCGTACAATCGTATTATATTATTGTATTCTTTCTATTACCTCTACGCCACCTCCGCTCACTTTCCTTTTACGCGTATTTTTAACAATTCATTATCATTCGTATCCTATATTGTCCGCACAAAATACACGTAAAATATGTTACGTGAAATAATATAAATACAAGGGAAACGTGATATTAATGAGATAACTGGAATGCGCGTAAATAATATTCGCGTTACATCGGATGAGCGCGCCCGCATCCATTACGTTCTTACGACATACCTCGAATAACAATATAATAATACCATTATGGTTAACAACCCAAATGTATGCTCTTATGTTTAGAGTAGGCAACTCGGCCGACAACGTGTGCACCGGTGCTGCTAATTTGCCTATACAGTGTGCCGTACAAACGTACACCCAGCATCATCACAGTGTGTTTCGGATGGAAGCGGGGTGTGTCACGTCGTCATCGTTTCGGGAACACGACGTATTTCTGCTCAAATAATTCGAACAAAATACTAGTTCGTCGTACGCAATTTAAATCTCCTAATTCGTGCCGTGATGATTGCAACGTAACGTGTTCCCGTACACGGCCAAACATTATATTAGAATATTCAAATATACAAATTTCCATGATAAATACATTTATATAACTCGAACGGAAAAGAAATAAAATTTGAGAGTGCCATGGTATATAATATAAAAACAATATAAAGCATAATAGATAAACCGGTTGAAACACATTAAAGAGGGCCAAAATTCGGTTTTGCGTAGTCTGTTGATTTTAATCTATACTGATACGTCAATTCGTTGTTAAAATCTGTAGCGACTATGTGAACGCAGCCACCAGATGTTGTAATATTTTGCATTTAAATTGACAAAATTAGGTTTTTTTCGTTAAAAAATGTTAGTGTCAGTTTTTTTTTTTTTGTTGTTGTTGTAAACATGTTTTTTTTATCAATCTGAATGCAATCGATTAAAGTTACATTTTGAAGCTGCATCCACGTGGTCGATATCAATTTCAACAATAGGATATTTTACCTGTATAGTATTATAAAATCAATGATCATGTGTAAAATAATATTTCAATTTTACCACTTGCTCGTATGGACAAAATACGTAGACGTATTGAATTCATAAATATGTAATAACAATGAAAATAATATAAACTTAATTATTAATATAATAATAATATCTATTCAACATATTTTGTTATAACAACATTTCGAATTAACAATCTAACTTCATACAAAATATATAAAAACTTATTATATCACGGATTAAAGAGAAGACGGAAAGTATAATTGGTTCAAATTCATTAACTGTATAAAAAAGTTTGAACATCAAAAATGTAAACCAATTATATACGTACTGAAAGAATTTTAAATTCAATTAGCTCAAGACTTTGCATTTTCTTCGTAGTCAAAAGAGTAATTGGTTTTGAACTCAAGAGTTATATTATACTAAGTTAGTGGCTTTTTACTCGGTTTCTATGATAAATAAATAAGATAACCATCTTTTTTACATTTTTATACATAATGCATTATTAACACGGAGAAATAAAATGGTGTATTTTAAATACATTTTTACTATACTGCTAATATAAAATAATGGTTTTAGAATTATATTAAAAATAACCAGGACAAAAATATGAGAGTTCTGAATATACAAAAAACTTTTTAGATCAAATAAAAAACTGATGGGGATTTTAATCAATAACAACTATAATTTGAAAAACCGTAGGCGTTTATATTATTCCCATAAACATCACCCGATCGCGATTACGTTTTAAACATCTAGTGCTTCCTTCGTAACATCTATTGTTTAAGATAAAATTTAGCCATAGTATATGCAACAACGAACAATATTAAAGTTTGATCAAACATATACAAAGATTATACGGTTCGATTAGGATTCAAATAAATTATTATAAGTTCGAAAGTTCGGATTGGGCCCTATACCCAAAACTAATATTGAATTACCCATTACTAGTACTAATAATAAGCTTCATGTTTATAAACGTACGTCATAACTGTTGGATCATTATATTTAGTTCATGAGGCAAATCTGTATTCTATGACTACGATAATACTTATTTGTACTGAACCGTGCGTGTTCTAAGGCAACACTTAAAATTACTATTTTTGTATCGAACAGCACCTAAACCCCCTACCACAGTGTTTTCATAGTCAAAACTATCAAATAGATTCGTCTAATACCACATAATCTCTCCCAACTTTGTGTTATTACTTTCATGAAGGGAAAGGAAAGGAGTAAATTTGTTTTAATTAGTACACGAAGCAAGGTTGCTTTTAATAGCTTTGGTACAACTTCTCTTCCAGTATCTAGCCAGTTACTCCGAACGTCTTCTGAAACTATGAACTCCTATACAACGATTAACTTAAAGTCACATACTTCTATAAATATTGTTTTCAGTAACTTCATTTTGTATTCGCAGAACATGTTTCCGGGGCCAATCTAAAGTGTTATACCGCTGACCCAGCCAAAACATCTTTTAGTCGTCCCTTTAGTGATCTACATTTCAATTCACAAATAATAATATTTACAAAAAAAAAAAAAGGATTTTTCAACACAAAATGGTGCAGAAGCAATATCTAAGTAAAATATAGTTATTTATTGATCTATTCATGTATTAAATTTACCTCACACTATTATTTTTACGTGAAAACCATCGACAAGTTTTTCAATTTCAATTTCTTTGTCACATATTTTTTGATTGAAATCATAGCAAAATCATGTTTCACTATTCTCGATTCATCAAAGCACTTGTTTAACTTCGATATTATAATATAATCTGGAATTCCCTGCAACTAAATCTGCCGCTCTTTAAAAATGTCTACCATAAGTAACAACCTATTTGCCATTCCTTCGTTCTTGCATGTTTCCAAATGTTATACCATCTATATTATAATAGCCTGTATAATTCAATTGTGAAAAGTAAAAGATATATAAATATATATATATACACAATGTTTTATTATGCATCACATATATATTTTTTTTTCAAATAAAATATGAATTCAACAACAAAATGTCTATAGACAATTCTTATAAGTTCAAACATGAATATGAATAATATATACTATGTAGACGATAAAACGTGAATAGTAAAAAATTTTTCAACAGAAAGTACATCGCACGAAAGTCTTTGAAAAGTTTGCCAGTATCATGTATAATATAGTTAGTTAAATTTTTAATAAGTGTGACTGTGTACGCTTTCAGGTAAACATAGCAATATCATTGTCCCTCCGTCGTGGATCGTTAAGCTACCGCGGAAAGGCAACTTCAAGTCTAGCATAAGATCGCCGAAAAAACGATCGTCCAAGAAGAAAACGAAAGATAAGGTAAATATATTGTAATTCTTCCTTTGTAGCAACGCAATCTTTTTAAAAGTAAATCAACGCAGTACATATGCGGCCGACGTATTGCGTGCACTAGTGCCCAACCCGTATAATAATATTATACACGTACATGGAATCGCTAGTAAATTATTTCACCTCTTATCCGTTGGCCCTCGGCTCTGTTTGATTCGGCAAAACAAAAAGTTCGACAGGTGCGTATATACATACAGCCATTGACTTTTAAAAGTGTGCGGTTTTTTTTTTATTTTCAACACGCGCCTACTACTACATTTTAATAATTAATTAAAACTGCTTACATTATTTATGACCTTTATACAACAATGCGCGTTTGTCGTCATTGATAAATGTATTATTTACGTCCATAGTACAATGTACGCGTGCACGCAACGATATCGATATGGTATTTAAAGTTTAAAACTTTTTCTGCAGTTCTCCACTCGGCTGACGTATTAAAACGCGCATCGTGATGCTGTTCAGCATTCAAACGTTCTATAGAAGGCAGTCATTTTTTTAATTTTTTCCATCAGTTCGGCATCATATTATTAATTCGTCAAAACTGTTGACTTCTGCTGCAGCTGTTATGGTTCGACTGATAGTTTAGTACAATATGACACTATTTGCGAGTATGTCGTTTTCGCGAAACGAAAAATAAACAACTTAATGCCGATTATAGACGCGAGATTGCGATTCATAATTGTATTATTATTATACACTTCATCGTTCTCCCGGTTGGCGGATCAATAACCGCTGTCGCATAATAGCGTACACCGCCGTCCGCTGGGTTGTTGTTTTGCATAACATTACAGTACACACGGTGTATCGCGTCGTTTTAGCTAATGGATAAGACGCAAAACGTGAAACTTTCTCCGCTGACCACGTCATGCGGCCGTGTGACCTCGAACACGTACGTAAAAACATTGGATATTGCGCTTTTGCAATGTTCGAAATCGACTATTATCAACGTTTATAAGCATTCCCGTAGGTATGCCCGAGCCGTCCACTAAAGGATATTCTTCGATGGCTTCTCTTTTATCCAATTACGATGTTATCGACGGCCAATTATACACCTATGTACAAACGTATTATGCGTAGTATACATCGGCGTAGGCGATTGACGACCCGAGTCGGTCATACGTACTGCACTATAAGCTCGACGTGACTCGGAAAACTGCATATAATTTACGTTAGGGCCTCCCGGTTCGGAAACACTGTACGTCGTGTCGATATACGCGTTACGCGACAACCGTGGGGTAGTACTTTACCGTGCGACACGGTTTACTCTAAACACTGTAACACGTTTAAAACTGCACATTACACCGATTGTATAACCACAGTGTTTTCTTAACATTGTATTTTTGTAGAAAACTTTGTAAGGTTCGGAATATTTCCATCTCGGTCATTGGATCTCATTAACGTGTTATTATTATTATTATTATTATTATTATTATCGTTCGGGTTTGTCGGTCAGACCTACCACCCATTTCCCCTACTACGATCGATTGTCGGATGTGTCATTTTGATTTTTGTCATATGTGAATTTTAAGCTAGATATTGGATGAATACGGACGGAATTTTGTTTTGTCGTTACCTAGCCATCGGTAGTGTCACAACTTATTCTTATTTTTAATTATCTTACTATTATATGTATTCTTTTTTGCGACATTGCCTACATAAATGGGATGGAGTAGAGCGTCTGGAATCACTCCTGTTGGGAGGATATCCCGATGTCGGACCCGAACGTGGACAGGACACGAATGTGTACCCTGGGTAATATAAATTGGTAATCTCTTTTACCTTGACCAGTACATTTTTTTTCTCGTCTGTTGTTGTGTTATTTACTATTGCTACTACATTTTGTTACCATTGGCCTGTATTGTTGTCCTATTCTTGTTTAATGTTCGTCTGTTTTGAATTATTATTGTCTCTATAATTGAGTTTGTTTTACCTGAAGGAGGTTTGTCTATTAGTGAGAATTATGTAAACGTTTTTAAATGAAAATTTGGAAATCAAAGTTGGTTTCATCGCGTTAAAAAAATAAATCAATTAATTTCATGATAATGAGTCTGGCAAGACTCATTCGCAACCAAGTCCACGGTCTTTGCGTATCCATTGCAAAAGCCCGTGGCTAGCGGCCCCGCTCATTATATTCAGTTTAAACGAGTCCACATGGGATTTCGTTTCTAAATTGAATATTAATCGCCATAACTTTTCAATAGTTATATATTTTATTCGTCTCCACGCAGTGGTAACTCGTACGGAAAAAATAAAAATAGCCGTCCGACGCTAGAACTTAACCGAAAGAACTTAAACGACGGTATTAAATTATTTCAAGTTCAAACGGAAACCATCAGAATCTGCTCGCGATCACACGGGCGCGATGTACCTGTAGCATTAATGTTTCATAGACTTGCACCCATTCGTGTGTTACTTCCTAGCTATTTTTTATTTTTTTGGTATGTACGAGGCCGCTATACATTTTACCTCCGCTGACTTGTACATCAATGTTCATTAGTTGAACGTTTGTTTACCTGCGCATCATACGCCGTACAGCACCCTGTCAATTTATCGGGAAATATTGTTTTTCATATTGTAAATTGCGACTATCAACATGTGGTCTAAAAATAAATTAGGGTTTCGACGTGAACGTATCAGGCTAGCTGTGTATATGGTGTACTCTATATTATGATACTACGTTATATAGTCGACCGATACGCTGTAACGGTGTGAATTTTGCGTTATTATCTAATGATCGCACAGCGGACCTGGTACTCACCACCGGTATAACACGCTATCAACCCCTGGGCAATGTAAACAATACACGAACAAACACGGTCGCAGTGAACACTATCACACACGCACATATACCCGTTGTCGGTAATTTTTCATTGGTTCAGTTAAAAATGTCCTCGCGAAAATCGCACGTCACTATTCACACGTACGGGTTATACACACACACACACACACGGTTATATATATATATATATCGTAAGCTCATTTACCTCGCAACACACACAAGTAGGGGTGGCATTTTCCCTCGGCTCCTGTCGACTGCGACTGTCTGTCAAAACGCCGACGTATTTCTCCGAACACGTCAGATATAAAATCACTTTTCCGATAGGTTTACGTACTGTCGTGTATAGGGTGTAGTGACAGATACTGAGAACTAAAATATTACTACAACAGGTGGAAACAGACGAGTCAAAAATAAATGTTTCCCAAACTATTATCATATTTTATGTACACGCTTGCGCTGTTCGTCGGAAAATGGCTGAGTTCTATTCCTTATGAATATTAATAAACAAAACAAAATTGAAATTGAAATTAATAAAGATATTTGGCTGGTTTAACGAGGCTATCATTCGTTAGATATTGCTACCAGTTATAATAATGTTATGTACGTCTGGTACAATGGTACTCGCATTGCCTGGTTCTACTCGTATATTCGTTGTAGGCTTCATAAAAAAATTAAATATCTTTTTCAAACGTGGACTTACCAGTTGTCATTTTTATTTAATTTTAGTTAAATATTTCCCGTAAACCACATAAGTTGGTTAAACATTTAATGGACCGTGGGTATAGTACTGTAAATGTATCTTACAAATAACTGCAAATAAACAATATTTCCGAAATATCTTCGTACCGTTTAAATCCATTAGAGTGCGAAACAATGAGCGTGTTTACTATGATTTATCAACCGCTACGTAACATCAAATTTTCCTCACAAAAATTATTCCACTGAACTTTATGGCATTACGAGAAATATTTTCACGGTGTAATAAAACGTTAAACTTTTTTAATTATTGATATAATAAGTATAGACATACGTGTAGTTCACAGAATGGCTCAATTACGGAAGACATCTAACATATAATAACACCTATGATTCAACGCTTAGCGTTCATGACATATTCGAGTTTAGGTAATAATAAATATTAAAATTTTGAAAAGTCAACCGTTTAATCAATTTGCCATATGTCCCATACGTTTATCCATGATATTTGTTCAATAAATTAATAATCCATAAATTTTAGAGATGGGAATTATTTGAATGTTTGAATATTCGAATAATTCCCATCATTAATAAGTTATCCTATATTTTTCTTTCGATATACGAGTACTTATATTATTATGATACATATTAATCATTTGTGCGTTATTAATACGAGTAGTATACATAATAACCACATAATTTATCTTATCTCCATAAACTCCTCTCTGGCTCTATTGACTCTTCTTCCCTGCTTGTAAAAATTAATGATTAATATGAATGTTCACAACAATTAAAATTTTTCTATTCTTCATTGCACAACTAGATAATTATTTGAGAAACAAACCTCTTACCTGAATGATGGGAATCGCCAACGAAAACCAGTTATTTTTCGATTAATATTTTTTTTTCTCGTTAATCGTTAAGTTTATTATTATTAAGGTAATTGTGATTTACAATAATTTATTTTGTCAAAATACTTTTATATATATTGGGTTCTTGACCGTAATTTATTTAAAATAAAATTATTATTCCCAAGTAAATAGTTTTATTTAGCATATTTATATATGCTTATATGTTTATTAATCTGGAGAGATCCATTACCTTAAAATTAAAATTATTACATGAACTTCAATGGTTTGGCGAAGAGCCAAGATATGGTTTTCACAAAGTTAATGTTTCTTTTATACCTACTGTCTGTAAATACATTGTACGCTTTCCAATTTGCCAAGCTTGTTCTAATTGTTTTGGCATAGCGTTCTTCCACGACTATATAAGTAACTATTAAGTAAGCTATATCTACTGGCCGAAATTCTGAGTTTTAAGACTTTATACTAGCTAAGTACAAGCCAAAACTCTCAAGTGCTCTCAAGTTGAATAATTATATCATCATTTTTTGTCTTGTTTTTTCTTTTTTAGCAACTGAAAAGAATTCATTACTTTTATATTGATTTTTCTCGTTTATAAAACAGTAAATTACTGAAAATAAATTTGT